CACGTCCTTTTTGAAATTGTGCAGGGTTTTGAATGCTTTGTTTGAAATTAAAAAGTGGGGTTTGACTGGCCATTCGAATTTGAGAACCAGTATGTTCCTAAATAATCTGGGGCGATATGTGGGGTTGTCGTATTGCTCAGCTCTACTCTATCTCCGAAATACTTCTTCAGAAATGGGTTAGAGTAAGTTTGCAAAGCCATATCTGTCTTGTGTAATCTTTGAGTTGAATCGCAGAAAAGATGGATTTTGTACCTAGTACTTCTGAAATTGTTGAATCCACTGATGAATTAGATGCTGAATTGAAAATGAGTGACCATGCTAAGAACCACTGTATGCCAAAATCAGGAAATAAGTATTCTATAGAGGATGATATTAATCGTCTTTTTGAAGCAATCGACATTAGGACATCTTCTAGGGTTTCTGGTTTCTCAAGCGAAATTGGTAGAGATGCTTTACGAAAGAGTGCCATGAAAAGACCAGTTAGAGTTGGTTCTTCTCAAGCTTCAGGGATTGGGATTTCTGAACCTGTGAGTTTGAAGCAAGCACTTAGGGGGTTGTGCATCTCTCAGGCATCAGAGATGGCTGCTATGAAGAAGCGGCTATCAAAGCCAGCTGGTTCTTCAGGGGTGTCAGAAGCAGGAACTATCAAAAGGTTGTACAGGGCAGTGGTAGTTGAAGCAAATGGATCTGGCATTCCACTAAATGAGGGTAAAGGGAATGTAGTGGAAATCTCCCTTGTTCCTGAAAAGATTACATCCAATTCTTCTGACAAGATGCCTGAATCTTTGCCAGTGCCAAACAAGGAGATTTTCAACCAAAATTCCAATCTTTCAGATAGTGCAACAGCAGAAAAGGCAATAATCACCAGATTACCGTCCCCAGATCAGATTGTTCCTTTGGTCACTGAGTCTGAAAGTGAAGTATCAAAAGCAGAACTCAAAAAACTAAATTCTATAGATTCTTCTTCTGTTAATCATGCTGCCGAGGATGTGGAAATTGGTTCTTCCTCAATCCAGGTTTGTGTTGAAACTCCTGTGCCTGATAAGGAGCCAAAGGGCAAGTTGCATGCTGAATCTTCTCTGTCCGTTTCTAGTGCTGCTGGTAAGGTGAAATCTGTTTGCGAAACTCCTCGTCTAATCAAGCCAGTGTTTAGGAACAAGAGCTTTATGAGGAAGAAAGCAAAGCACGAATCAACTTCTGCTGTCAGCAGTTCCAATTCCTGTAATGGTTGTGTCAGCAATGATCTTGGTCCTAGTACTAGTTATTCAGATAGCCAAACACAGAAACATGCTTCAGACAATGGAAGGAAAGAAAGTATGAAAGTTTCTCCTGTTTCCAGCATTACAAATCGCAGCATTGAAGTTAACTCAAGCACTGTGGGTGCAAGCTCCAAATCAACTTTGAGTTCAAACTGTAATAACAAATCCAAAGCCATGTTGACCAAAGCTGATGACAGATCAAGATCAAGGGAAAAGGGTGAGTTTTCCCAGAGCTCGAAAAGTAGCATTGGGGAGTATAGTAGTAGCACAACCACTAGTGAAGAAAGCAATATGAGTGGATCTAGTCGAACTGGTAGCAGACCTCACATGTCAAAAGATTTGAGGTGGGAAGCTATTCGCACTGTTCAGAAGCAGCATGGAAGCTTGAGTTTGAGGCACTTCAAGCTCCTCAAGAAGCTTGGTTGTGGGGACATTGGGACTGTTTATCTTGCTGAGCTAACTGGTACAAACTGCTTATTTGCTTTGAAGGTGATGGACAATGATTTTTTGTTGAGCCGCAAGAAGATGCCTAGGGCACAAACAGAAAAGGAGATAATGCAAATGCTGGATCATCCTTTTCTTCCTACTCTATATGCCTATTTTGCTACAGAAAAACTTTCTTGCTTGGTTATGGAGTATTGTCCAGGTGGAGATTTGCATGTGTTGCGACAGAAGCAACCTGGCAGGAGTTTTTCGGAACAAGCAGCAAGGTAAAATCTATCTCTTAATGATGTTCAGATATGCTTTTAGTTTTGGTGGACAATTTGTGGTGTTTATTTTACCTTGTTTTTAATTTTATCTATTTCTGATTCTGTACGACTAACAGGACATATGGGAAAGTATTAATTACACATTTGTTACTTGAATTATAATCAAATTCTCGATTTGGTACCTAAAGTTTAGAATTTCGTAATTAGGTACTCAAACTTTGCTTCCGTCCATCATTTTGCACACGAGACAATACCATTATTCAAATGGATGATGTGTCCAAAAGCAACCAATAAAAAGATGCTATGTGTCTGAAAATACCACATCAACATGCCACATGTCATAATTATATTTGATGTTTTGAGCACATCACCATGAAACTAACAGTTTTAAGTATCATGAGCAAACTGATGGATGGAAGCAAAGTTTTGTGAATTTCTAAATTTTAGGTACCAAATTGAGATTTTGACTATAGTTTGGATATCCAATGTGTGATTAACCCTATGGTAAAATAGAGAAGAGAAAATACTGTTGTTGTTTTGTCTGAAATAGATCCATTTATCTTAGTCCTCATTCTTCTCATCATTAGTTGTTTGTAATTTCAGCATAAATTTACCTTTCATGTTTAAGGAGTCACAACCTAGAAGGAGAAGGAAAAAATGCAAGAAATGATTGTCAGACTGCATTGATATCTTAGGATGATTGTTAATTGGCAATTGCCATCATGAGAACTCATGTACCACAGGAAAGGAAAGAAATGTTCCACTCAAGTGAAAACATTATACATTTAAAGTGATAGTAATTTATAGGGAGTAAAATCTTAATTATAATTCTCAACTTGAGATTCCTTTATATTGGTTTAATGTTTATGCGGAGCCATTTTCTTGTTTTCGATGTCCCTCAAAAGATCGTGCAAGTTATGGAGCTTGAAGTCAAATTCATAACAATAGATATAAGAGGTTTTAAATATAATTAAATTGATATCTGTGAGTATATTGGAATTAGATGTGAATGAACATTATTGTGGTCTTTTTCGGCCTTGCAATGGCCAAATTTAGGCGGGATGTGGTGGAAGGTGCAATATACTTTGATAGTTTTGATGCTGTGATCAGCACTGAGTTCATTAGAATTGTGTGCTTTGAGCAGGTGTTGAATTCCATTTGCTTTGTTCCTATGCCTTTGCTTTTTATCTTTCTAATTGGACCTGATTGACGACTTCAACGCAAAGAGAGGACCAATTTGTCTATATTTAGTTGTATAAAATTGAAGAATTTCTGGATGCTTTATTCATCCACAGTTTCTTATCAGCTTATTTTTCTGATGTCTTTAACTCATGCTTTCATGTATGCAGGTTTTATGTTGCTGAAGTCCTCCTTGCATTGGAGTACCTACACATGCTTGGTGTTGTATATCGAGATCTAAAACCAGAAAATATCTTGGTTAGAGAAGATGGTCACATCATGCTTACAGATTTTGACTTGTCACTCAGATGTGCTGTTAATCCAGTGCTTCTTAAATCGGCTTCACCTGTTACTGAGCCTGCAGAGAAGATGTCAAGTCCGTGCTCTGAATCTAGCTGTATTGAGCCTTTCTGCCTCAATCCATCCTTTCAAGTCCCATGCTTCACTCCCAGGCTTTTATCGCTTGCTTCCAAGTCAAGGAAGATAAAGTCTGACCTAGCTACTCAGATTAGCCCCATGCCACAGCTTGTAGTGGAGCCAACTAGTGCCCGGTCAAACTCATTTGTTGGAACGCATGAATACCTTGCTCCAGAAATCATCAAGGGTGAGGGTCATGGGAATGCTGTTGATTGGTGGACGTTTGGAATCTTTCTGTTTGAGCTTATGTATGGTAAAACGCCTTTCAAGGGCACAGGAAATGATGAAACACTATCCAATGTGGTGTCCCATAGCCTTAGGTTTCCTAGTAGCCCTATAGTTAGTTTTCATGCAAGAGATTTGATCAGAGGGCTTTTAGTTAAGGAACCTGAGAATCGATTAGGATCAGTGAAAGGAGCTGCAGAGATCAAACAGCATCCTTTTTTTGAAGGCTTGAATTGGGCTCTGATACGTTGTGCAACACCACCTGAGATGCCAAGGTTTTTTGACACTGGTATCTGTGTGCCAACCGCAGCTTTGCAGAAAAAAGACAGCTCCAGGGGCGAAGAATTGCAGGGCACAGAAGACCATATGGAGTTTGATATGTTTTAGCTATAGCTTTTCTGATGTGGGCAAAGGAAGATGTTTTGGTTCTCTTTTCAACATTGAGGTTTCTGATCCTGTTGTAACTGATACATATATATATATAGCATATATAGTGTAAATGTAATTCAGAAAATTGGCGGCAAGTTATTATGATATAAATATACGGGTAGAGCTAGTTGAGTCTTGAGAAAGTGCAGCAGCATCTTGATTCTTGATTTTCATAGCATTCAAGCTTGAGCACCACTATATTTAAACTGAATGCTGTATGGAATACTTGCATATTCATAATTCATCGATTTCACAAGTTGTCTGTTGATTTACTTCAACCAAAGGTGTGAAAAGGTAATGATCTTCATTTCTCCACAAGAAGGTATGACAGCCACATGGGAAATTGCATCAAACGGCATTTTCGTTTTCACTCTTTGTAAAAAATGATATCCTTTTGGTAATGATATACTGTTGAATAATTTATATGGTAGTGAGCTTCATGGATAGACCAAATATTTCAACATTTACCATGGGCGCGGGTCTCACAATTGTTAGGTTCTGTAGTTTTATGGCACTTACCCTGATCTTTACTAGCTTCTGTAGCTCGATTCTCTTTCAAAAATTAAAGCTAAGCAAGCTCAAGCTGCCTGTCCAACCAGCTTTAGGACACTGTCTTAACGGTCTAAACCAAATTCTCTCACCTGGGAATGTACATTCAAACACCTCCATGAAGGTATGAACCCAACCCATTGCTGTAAGTCCAATCCATTAAACCAATATCCATAATCTCTTTTTTGTTTTTCAAATATCTATCTTATTATTACTTTACTTTCAGTTCGACCATAGCCCCAACTCTTATAAGAGCCAATCCAGTTCCAACAAAATGCCTTTTGCTCCCAACACCTCCACGCTTGCGGAAAGTTATGAGGCCATCTCTGAACAATGCCACCACTAGACCATCGTCATCCACAGTCCCTCCATATTTACCATTCTGCCACCACTCTGATTTGCTGTCTCCTAAAACCTCATGTTTTATTCCGCTCTTTCCATCAACCAAATACCCAACTCTCCAAAACCCAAAATCCCCTTCATATCCCCACCAAGACCCCAGTATTTCTCCTGCTTTTGGGTCACTGGTAAAAGCATCAATGGCCTCTTCAGAACCATCCGCGGGGGCTGCCACTGAGACCAAACCTTTCTCTGTTCTGTTTGTTTGCTTAGGCAACATCTGCAGGAGTCCAGCTGCTGAAGGTGTCTTTAGAGATATTGTCAAAAAGAAAGGCCTTGACTCCAAGTTTAACATTGACTCTGCTGGCACCATTAATTACCATGAGGTATATACACTTTAGATATGCAAATAAAAATGGTATTTTGGAGTGACTTTTTTACATTATGTATGGAAAAATATCTGCCTGTTTTGATTATGATTTTGGTAATAGGTCAGTATAAGTTAAGATTGAAGCTTTCTGGGATACCAAGGAATTTAAATGATGATGATAAATATTGATCTTTTCTAGGATTCCAAGCAATGTGAATAATGAAATTATAGGCCGTTTTCTTTTTGGCCTTCTAATCTTTTGATTGTCAGCAACCAATGGCTTATACAGAGGGGAAAATGGGATTTTTTAAAAAAAATTTGATTAGTCACTTTGTTGTTTGTGAAGGGAAATTTGTCAGACCCAAGAATGAGGGCAGCCTCAAAAAGGCGTGGTATTGAGATAACGTCTATTTCAAGGCCAATCCGGCCATCTGACTTTAGAGATTTTGATCTTATTCTTGCAATGGACAAGCAAAATAGAGGTACTATTCATGGGTTGCCTGTTTAATTTAGCTTTCCGGATGTCTTATTAATTTAATTGAACTTGTTGGTGCTCTGTCACTTTTGATTGTCCAGCTTTAGGTAAATGTACTGAATAGTATTAAACATCGCACATTATTAGTTTTCTTTGTTTCATGCAGAGGATATATTGAAGGCTTTCAATAGGTGGAAATTTAGAGAGACACTTCCTGCTGATGCACATAAAAAGGTTGGTAGAATATTTAGGGTGAAGATTTGTCTATTGTGTGGTTTTTGACAGTGAAGTTTGTACTAATTATGCAGGTTAGACTGATGTGCTCTTATTGTAAGAAACATGATGAAACAGAAGTCCCAGATCCATACTATGGCGGACCGCAAGGTTTTGAGAAGGTAAAGTATGAGGATTTTCATTTTTAAAGGTGGATTTCTAAACTTGACATGGGAATCAGTTAATAAGTTTCCCATTGCATAGTTTTGGAATCAGGGGAATGTTTCATGGACTTTGTTGAACCATGAGCTGTTTAGGTCAGAGGGCTTTGTTTTGGGCAGGGAGGGAGGGAGGAAGCATGTGGGTGTGGTGAGGTAGAAAAGGATGAAAGGATAAGAAACAAGGGAGAACATGGGAAGTTCTGCACAAAACTTTCTTCTTATTCTTCTTCTGGAAGGAAGGGAGGGAGAGATAGAGAGAGCATGCAGATGTTTTGTGATTTTGAAAGAAGATGAGGAAGGAAGAATGGAAGATATGAGGGAGGAAAGGGGAAGTTCTGTCTAAAAAGGTCTTCTCCCACTTCTTTTCTTTGTTTTATTTAATTTTCTCTGGCCTAGGTTTTGTTTGTTAATTCTACCTCCAGTATTGGGATGAATTTTCAAAGATTTTGGTTCTGGATTAAAGGAGAAACATTTTGTTCCCTCTCTTCCACCCACCCTCTTTATTTTCTCACTTATCTTTCTTACTAAGCATGGCATAAAATTGACAGCCATATACAAATATTCGTTTGGGTAATGGAAAATTTTGGCCAATTTTCCAACCAGTGTTCTTACAACTATTGGACCTTTGTGTTTAATAAACCAAAACCAACTTGGAAATTCAAATTCAATCTGCAAATGATAGTCAAACCCCGGGAGAGAGAAGCAGCATCTTATTGTGAGGAAGAAAGAAGCAAGGAGGAAGGAATAATAAATGAGGGACGTGCAATGTCAATGCGAAGTTCACCTTAAAAACAAGGGGGAAAAAGTATCTTCTCACACTTCTTTTTTGTTAGGTGTGAGTTTTGTGTTTTAATTACATTTTGTAATAATGGGTTATATGTCCCAAACTTTTATCTAGGGCTAAGACATAAAGCCTTGAAAGTTTTAGAAACTACTAGATCCATTTAAAATTGTGGCCTAATTTTCATTACCCAAGGACTCGTTTATGGCTTAAAATTTAGGCTATGCTTAGTAGGAAAGAAAAGTGGAAAGATGGAAAGGAATGATGGAAAAGGGGGAAAATGTTTAACATTTATGTTGGGTAGGGAAGCTTATAGAAGAAATTGACATTCTCTTGGGCCTACAAAACCAATATTTCCAAATTGAGAATATTAGGGGGAGAAACTGCGAGGAAGAACTGGTGCTGTGGTGGCAAGATTTGAATATTGGTGGCGGTGGTAATAGTGATGGCTTGGTATGGCAGTGCTGAGGGTTGCAATGGTTGTGATTACAACTTTGTTCAATGCAAGGAGGAAAAGAGGTTAATGTGCTGGATCTATAAAAATTATGCCATCTCCTGGCATGCCCCACATAGTAATCTATTTGATAAGCAGGAAAACCTAATTTGTTATACTAAAAATGTCAACCAAAATGAGCTTGCTGAATGCTGCATATGGGTCATTGTGTTTGAAAGATGTAGTAGCATTTGGTGCTTCAGTCTGATAAAATACAGTTGATTCATGGTTTTATCTTTTGAAGTTAGAAAGCTTCCTGCCTTGGTTCCTTTTTCTTTCTTGTCATCCTTGAACTCTTGTATACATCAGGATGTGCTCTATGGCTTTTACTGACTTTCTGCTGCAGTAAGTACTAGTCTTTGTGCTACAGCCACCTTATTATGTTGCTCCTTTTGTTTAACACATTATTCTCTGTTCTTTGTTATCAAATATTCAATTATGCCCTTGAACTCCCTACACAGTGTATTCGGCATCAATTTGCTTCATAGGAGTTTTGACAATCTTCTCTGCTGGAACAAGTACTAGTTTTCTGTGTGATATAACATTTTTAATATTGCCTTCATCTTGTCACCTAGTAATGTTACCTCCAGTTGTCTAACACATGTCTCTCTCGGTAAAGAAGACATGTTTCTCCAATCTGTGTAATCAACTCATTTCAACTCCCCTTGTTTTGGTGCATTCATCCTTTTATGACAACCAACCTTTTATTTGGAAAAAAAAAAGGAATTTCCCCCTATTTCCTATTATGCTGGATTACTGGTTGAAATGGGATATAGGTCTTTGTACTCTAAAGTTCTTGATGAGCTCAAACAAAATTGGGTAGTGTATCTTTTAGTTACATTCGACCGAGCCTCGCATGTTTTGATTTTGTTCGGCATGTTATGGCAATTGTGTTCTGCATATAAATTGGCATGGCAAAGCTAATGAGTTCTGTTACCATAGCAGGTTTTAGACTTACTTGAAGATGCGTGTGAATCATTACTGGACAACATCCTGGCAGAAAACAGTGACATTCGTGGTTCTTAACTTCTACTTAAAAGCTCTGGTTGATCCAATCCAGGCCTTGACATTGGCCTGGAAAATGTCAATATATACCCACAGTATCTATTATGTGGCTTGAAAAGGGACTTCCATCCGTTGCCAATACGTGAAATTGGAGTTTGTATGTATATTATTAGTGTGTGTTTGACCTGCCAAAATGTATGAATGAAAAGTAACATCCGAATTTGAGCCTTGAGGGAGAGATTGTTAAATAACAATGTTGGATTTCATGATTTACACAGATTTCTCAATGGCGGAAAGTCTTGTTCTTGCTGTAACCTGTATTGTTTCACAATATTTAGATAAAAGCTCAAATAAATAATAGTTCTCAATGGAGATCTACTTTTAATGCGAAGATACAGATTGAAGATTTTAATCCTTTGACACCCTCACACAGATCCACATACAGATATATGTTTTTGCTGCAAATTCCAGAGCAGCTGGCCTAAAAAAGCAAAAAGGTAGCATTCATTTGTTTTTGTTTATCCACAATATTCAAACAAGGGAAAGAAGTGTGACCTTGCATATGTATAATTATATACGAATACCTGAAAACCAGAGAGTGGACAGGACATGCTTACAGCAACTACAATTGCCAAAACAGAACTATGGTACAATGTCTGTATAGTATAAAAATACAACGTATGAACTTACTTAGGTATGGAACAATATCACTTTCAAAAGATTCAGAGAGCTGAATTCTCCATGGGAAACTTTAAAAGTATCCTTCAAGCTCATATGAGGAAGGGCTGTTTGAATCCCTTTTGGCCACGTTTCTTCCTTGGGTTGGCACTCAGCATGCAAGAAAACGCATTTACTAGCTCCGCGTCCTCCTCATTTATAAGAATCTTTGCTGCACTAGGGTTAGCAAGGAGGAGCTTTGCCACAAGGTATCCAGCAATAGACCATGTTTGAAACAACCGAGACTGCTTTCCTATAAATCTTGCTCTTCTAGTGTCATAATATTCTGGCCACTTGTCTCTACATATGCGTCTCTCAGCAAGCATGACGGCTTTTTCAGCAATCTCTGGTCTATTCAGCTTTATGCACGCCACAGTGAGCTGGAACAGCACCATAATTATGTTAATTACAAGAAACATAGTTCTAATCACCACTTTAATAAAGTCAAATTCAGATTGGAAGGGGAGGTCAATGAATCTGTTGCATACTACAACATACTGTATAGGTATATAAAATTTTCATATATCAAGATGAAAGTGCAGCAAAATATACAGCACTGTCAAGATAACAGTATGGTACAAAGATACATGCTGACGCCTGGTAATATAAATAATGGAACCATTCATCCTTTTCGGATTCACGATTAACACATGAGACATTCTTAGATAAATTTCAGAAAAAGACAGGCGGCTAGACAGAATAAGGCCACACAAAAATCACATTGCTATTAATGGCATTTACCTTTCAGGTACCTCCAAAAGTACAATTAAGGTAACTGACGATTGCATTGCTAGAAACTGGTACAACAATGGCATAAGCTCATTCATTACTGCAGTAAATGACATTTGGAAGGAATAAACTAACCTGCCATAACAAAGTTGGCCAAGAACCTCCATTATGGTATGACCAGGCACTGCAATTAAAAAATAATGTCAAGCATAGGTGGAAGAACTAGGAATGAGTTGCCATGGTAAATTACTTAAAAGTAAGAAATCATAATCATATAGGAAAAGACAATACGTGTTCTTGGGATCACTGCCTGTGATAATTCGCCATTCCTGGCCCTCAAGAGCAGGATAACAAATTTTCAATGGCATATCTGCCACCAATTCCGACCATTTTGCTTCTACAAGATCCAATATGGCATGTGATTGATCAACTGTTGCAAGACTGCCTACAATAGACCATAAGTTTCCCAGTGAAAAGAAACGAAAATCCATGTGAGCTGGCTGCAGATTTCCAATCAAATAACCTCCCCTGGCAGGCATAAATTCCACCAACCAGGGAGGGATCTGATCTGGGTAGATGTTGAACTTATTAACAGCATCAAATGAGTATTCCTCTGTCTTGTAACGGTAGATTTCATTAAGCTTTTTCATGTCGATCCAGTAATATTCTCTGATGTGAAACGATAATGCAACTAAACGATTGTTAAGAGCTCTTATAAGGTCAGCTGAGCCATCCTCAGAAGCAAGCATCTCACGTGCGCAGAGTAATGCCGAATAGAAAAGTGCCTGCAAGAACATATAATTTTTATGCAAAAGAGTGCCTTCATATCTCCGTGTAACAATGAGCATGCCTACAATCACAAAGCTTCAGCTTCTGTAAGATAAAAGCATTGATAAACCCTAAAAACCTATCAAGTGTAGAAGAGTAAAGAAGTGTTTGCACCCTAAAAAAATGAAAACAGGAGAGGTGGAGGTCCACAGTTGAGAAAAGAACACAAATATCAATATATCATGCTTCCTGGATTATGTGCAAGTATAGAGAGGTTATAGATTTACTCCTTGGCAGTTTTGAAACTACAGATAACATCATTCATTCTTCTAAAAAGCAACTCTGAAAAATCCAAGTCAAATATGTTAAAGGAACTAAACCTGAATTTCCAAAGGATGGCCATGGATTCCCATGCGACGATCTATCATGCAAGAACCATCTGTCACTAATAAAGTTGGAAACATGTCAAAGCCATCAGCAAGACAGAGCTTTAAGATCATTTTGATCCCAGTTTGTACATCGACCCTCTCTTGCACTGAAAGATCTCCTGTGCATTTTCCATATGCTCGTAATAGTATAATCCACCATAATCCTGGAAGTGAAATCCAAAGTTGAACCATTAATCTCTTAGGTTAAATATGAATAAACGTACACCAAGATGTAACTCAGGAGATAGTTGACTGCAACATTCCCTTACCAGAATCAACTGGAGCAACACGGCCGATTGCTGCTTCACCAAAGTCAGGGTCTAAGACATCCTCAGTCACAGAATCATCACCATCACGTGGAACAGTGCGCACTTTGAAACTGGCAGGCATCAGTCCCTGACCAGGACTATGACAATCCATGGTTTTCTCCCAGCTCTGTCAATTTAATAAGTAAATCAGTGGAGATGTGACATTCATGCTTCAGACAAGTAATCCAACAGTAATGCCTAATCGGGTAACAAGATCAGAAACATTATGTTACCTGCAACTGAAGTGTGTATAGAATGAAATTCCGAACAATATCATACTCTCCCTTCAAAAGAAAAGCTATCCCGGAAGGTATGAAGTCACGGATAAAGACTTGATCATAGTTTAGAATGCTGGAGCTGCTTGTATCACTTGCAGCAATTGTTCCAATTGGATTACCACAATAGTAAACAACAGACTCCTTCAGCAGATCCCATGCTTCTTCCTCAATTGACTTCCTACTATCTATAACTGTTCCAACCCCATTTGTGTTACCATTGGCAAACCCTTCCTTATCAGATTTCAAGAGTTGGTTCAACTCAAACTCTTGAGCATTATTCACATTAGTCCTACCATTTATGGAGAGTGAAGTGGGTGTTCCATCATCCGCTGTTACGTCACTTATACTATCAGCCTTTTGGCATTTGCATCTCGAAAAACATGATCTTTTTGTTCTGTTGTTTCTTGCAGTACTATAATAACCAACGCTCGAAAAAGCATAGCTCGTTATTCCATTCCGCGATGTTCCTAAACTATAATGGAATTCTAACAACCCTAAATTTCTTTGTTTTCCATAATTTGCACCAGATTTAAATAAAAGCATAGGATCTAAATGTAGAAATGCTTCTGACACAGCCATCGGTCTTAAATTCTAAACTGAATTCGATTAATTTCTTCAACCAACTACCTAATTAACACCAAAGGAAAAGAAACTATGAAGTAAAATGAATAATAATAGTAATACAACTAATGATGGAAAATTACAGCATAGAATAATTTTCTTTGAGTAATAAAAAAATTATTTTCTTATAATGAAGTTAAAGTAAAGAATCAATCATTTTCCTTTCTATGATAGTGAAAATTGAAAATATAAAAAAATAAAAAATAAAGCAGGATTGTCTCAGTTCCTTGTGAAGCTAGCGTAAATGGTGAATTAAACTCACCTCTGCATCATCAAAGGATTTCTATCAGTTCATTTGAAGCCAAAGAAAGCACCATCTCCTGCTTTTTCTCTGGAAAAATGCAGGGTTTGTATGAGGTTTGCTAGAATTTTCTGGGCATCCAAACAACGGTTTTACACGTCTGGCTTATGACACTATGCCTGGACGGAACGAGGAGAGGAGACAAATTAAAACGCACCGTTTTGATCCGAAAGGGAATTCACTAAAAACAAAAAGGGGGAGAATGGGATAATTTTTATTTTATTCTCTAAAAGAGAATAAATAATTGCGAGCAGTGGACGTGAGGTTTGCACGTGTGGGATGAGGTTGTGCGTCATCGTTGTGGCTTTTCAGCTGATTCATCACCTGGAAAGGGGAAGAAAACTATATCTGATGCAGGGACAAACATGGAATTTACATCACCAAATAATTTCCAATATTTTAATTGTAAAAATACTTATGTATTTACGTGTACAATACCATTTCATTAAGGAGAAGCTCGCCGGCCTCTGCCGTGCATGGGGGAATACATATAAGATCATATTACAAGCTAAAAACCAAAGAAGCGCCTACAAGCTTCAAGGATCTTGTTTCTTTTCTTATCTGATTCTGCTTCAGCCTGGAGCATGACTCTGTTTTCTTCATCTCCAACTGGAACTGGATCATAGTGGTGATCCATCCTGCGATAAACTTGGTTAACCGAAGCTGAAGCTCTCATTGAAAAGGCTCTCCTCACAGCCCTCTCAACCGCTGATGAACTTTGTTTCTCCTCCTGAGCAGCTCTCATTGAAAACGTTTTCCTCACCTTGCCATCCAGTTCACAGTTTTGTTTCTCTGCCCTGAACCCATCAAAACATGTTGATAAACCCGATGGCTTTCGCCTCAATACCACCCTGATAAGCTCTTCTTCCTCGTCTTCCTCCTCCTCCTCTTCACGTCCTTGATGAAGAAATGAATCATGGAGATGATCTAGATCAGTACTTATGGTGTTGACACTGATCTGGATCCCTTGTTTTGTGTCTTGGAATTTGCAGTTTGGGATGGACGACATAGGTGTTTGAGGATGAAAACAAACAAGAAATCAACCAACCTCGTTTTTTCCATGGAACTCTTTCTTGTCTCTTCTGTCTTAGGCTTTATATAAAATGTTTTGCAAGAGAAAACTGTTTCTTGATCAGTCACGATCAGAAAGAAAATGCAAATGGAAAACGTTATTGAGAAGTGATATTGAAATGCATTGATGAATCATGATTTCTAGAATTTCTATAGAAAGTGATCACCTGGGTTGTGCAAAAGATGGAAAACATGTTTGTGTCACATATGTTTATAGAGATGTGCTAGGTCAACATATAAGTGCCTTTGAAAGTAAGTTTATTCCAGCAAAGAGCATCCAGTTCTAGAACAACTCATGTCAATAACAGCTAGACTGCTGTATCTACTCCATTACCTATATGCATGCAGGGATTCCAAATAATCTAAACTTTATGGATATCTATTTTTATTGTTACCACCTAACATCATCCTTCATGTGTAAGAACAACACACATCTCACTTAATATAGGACTTACATATCAAGATAATGGGCTCATCATGTATACTACAAATAGGAAATCAGGTTTGCTTTATCGTATCAAACTTTATGATAAGACATCTATATATGTTAAGATCAAATATTGTCAACAAGTCTCCCAACTTATATTTGGATATAGAGGATGTCCCAAACTTAAATCTATAATTTATTTTCATCATGGAGATATGATCAAGTACATATGTCTTAGGAGGATCCTCAAAGCAATCTACTGAACCTATTTTAACTTCCTTTAGCTAGGCAATCTTTTAAAGGGGATAAATACCCTGGATTTTGCAGGAGCCAATACCAGGACAGATCTACTGAACCCTAATAGGTTTAATTGACCAATTCTATCCCTGTCAAAGGAGTTCCAGCATGAAGTTGTAAGGCAACATCACCCACAACCTGCAATTAGCAAAATAAAAGAGGCCAATCATACTTAGAAATTCAAATAATACAACTAAGAGAACAAAAAATCCTTGACATAAATACAAGAATTCAAGCTTTTACTGGAATATTTCAGCTCATAGACACAAGAATTTAAGCAGGAGGATCAAATATTCTAGGCTTAAGATAGACTGAATAGAAGAGAGTTCTTTTACAATGACAAATGAAATTCATTTTAGTTTCAAGTTCAACAACCTAAAAATTTTGATAAGATGCATACCTTAGCCATTGATCTAAAAGAATGTTCAGTAATTCCAGCAACATGAGGTGTGATTATAACATTCTTGAATGTCAAAATTGGATCATCAGGGTCAAATGGTTCTGTCCATGCAACATCAATTCCTAAGCCTCCCAAGTGTTCAGACTCAAGATGATGCACAACAGCCTCATAGTCTAGAAGACCCCCTCGAGCAATATTTATCAAAAGGGCACCCTGGAATCACACATCCAGCCAAGTAGCAAACTATGAGTGCAACTAATTCGATAGAAATTAAACAAGGAAAGTTTGTTGAAGAGATGCAACATGTTATGTGCTGTGAAAATAATGTAGTGCATTTGAACTGAACCTTTTTCATTGAAGATATGAAGGACTTGTTTACCACGCCAATCTGAAAGTTTGAAACGTCCGAATAGTAAGTGATTGGAGAATAAATTTTGTAGCAGGTGTAGGTAAGAGCAGCCTTACTGTTTCTTTTGTCAAACTCAAGCAACAAACAACTATATCGGCATAGCTCGCTAACTCGTAAATATCTCCATGTCTGCCTTTCTTATCAACCAATTTGTCAACGACCTCGTTTTGAGTTTGAACTGCTGAAATATTTACTGAATGAAAATGCCTTCACAAGTGCCGAGTTTCACTATTTAATTACTTAATGGATCCTCCATACCTTTTGGGACAGGAACTTGCAAATATGTGGCCCAGCTCCTTTTAGTAGCAATAATTTTAACACCAAATGGTTTCAAGACCTTTGCCAGAGCAATTCCAATATTTCCAAATCCCATTACAAAGACCTACACAAGCAGGGTATAATATGTAAAACATCAAACAAGATATGAAATGATGGAGACAAAGATTTGGAGCACGAGACCGTCCACCTTAATGGTGAATGAATTAATAGTTGGTAATGAAGTAACTTTTTTGAAAGAAGATAATGAGACAGCCTCGCCAAGAATTCATTGAAAACAAACATTGCATCCCTAGACACAGAAGTCTAAATAAGTCTTAGGCTCTTAAGCACAAGTGTTTGAATAAACACGTTGAAATGTATTAATTCTCATATCCACCCTTGACTGTTTTCTGCTTTCTTCTCGTATCCAAAATCTCAATGTAGTGAGGTAATAACACATGCACGGCTACCGTAATTGATGTCCTCTTAACACATTGCAGTTTCTAAGCAAGGAAAAACTTGCGAAAATAGGCACAGCAGCAGGAAACTGATTTTGCTCTGTACTCAATATTGAATGTCTGATCACAGACGATATTCAATTTCATGCCTGAATCCAGGTCAAATTAAAGGCTGTCTGGTTGTCCTCCTTCACTACACAACTAAGCAACTAGTTTGTGTCACTTGTTATGCCAGAATGACATAAAGCTTTTTATTTTCAATTCAACTTGGTATAATGGTATCAAAACTATAACGTTCAAGCATTCACTCATCGACCATATTAGCAAAAGTCACCATGAAAAGCAAAACAGAAATAAGAATGGACAGGTCCAGTTTTCGTGAAAATATTTAAATACAAGAATGTGAAAGAAGTAGCGAGGCAGAGGAAAATGAATAAAGTGTTTCCCCAAGAGGCTCTCCAAGCTTTTTCTGCTTTACAGAAATTTGCAAGCACCATAATCACTCTGGTCATCAACATTGGTTTGTTCAGTCCATAAAAAAGTTTCAATATTGCGAAGTCTCTTATATCTCTATAACCTGATACAGCTTTCAAGTGCATGCTACCACTAAGACAACTGAAAGGATAGTGAACTGACCTCCCAATTAGCATGAAGTCAACTACTTTTCATGTTTAACTATAATCGTATTGACATATTAGACAAGTAATGCAATTTTTTCAGTTACTAAAAATCAGATAAATAAGTAAACCTGTTCCCGGAGAAGGCCCAAGATTAGATATATAGCCATTTCAGCACAAGATGCTGCATTTCCAGTTGCATCACCCGGAATTCTGGCGACTTTAATGCCAAGCCTTGTAGCAGCATCAACATCAACCCCTTCATGCAAACGTAGGAAAAAGGAAAAGTTTTATACCGGTACGTGTTGTATGGACATTATAACTTATAAAAGAATAATCATAAAACACCTTCTAAGCCAACACCAAACTGCATTATTAGCTTCATTTGATTGGCACGAGATATAACATTTGAATCTATTCGCATGTTTAACACAACACAGAGATGGTAGCTCCCAATATGATCTGGAACATCCTTGAGGGCCACTTCATCAACCTGCAACAAGTTAAATAGCTAGAGAAGCTCAATATTCAACACAGAAACTTCAACTCCACAGAAGGAAGAAAAAGAAGTTGTTAGGTTGCGTTTGACAACTTGTATTTGATTGCAGGATTTGGCATATGCTTGTTAATATGTCTTTGGTTAATGATAATGCTTTAAAATTAATATAGGTAGGAATCTTTCTGCAAATAAGTGCATAAGATGAGAATTTCAGCAAAGTGCCTGGATGAAAGGATACTTCTCCAAGTATTGTCTAGTATAATTCTGTGAAGCTGGAAAATGCGGTCCACAAAAAAGAACACGGGTGATGGGTTTGTCATCCACCTTCGAAGACATATCTGTGCTGAAGGACCTCAAAATCAATATACAAAACCTCTACGACAGGAGAAGATAAAGCTATTTAAAATATTACTATATGTAAAGGACATTACTATTACATTATTACTCTAACAAGAAACATAAATAAAAGGAATGAGGAGTGCAGTGAGTCGCCAGTGACAAAGCTGGAGATTTCCGGGCTTTGCCTGTGAGGAAGTGGAGATGTGAAACCAGTGAGAGTGTGAGAAAGCATTTCATTTCTTGTTTTTTTCTACTAGAACCGGTTTGACCGGTTGCTTTCGCTTAAATTGTAGCAATTAAAATCAGCCAGTGTGCACCACAGAAAACTTGGTACGTACCTAATGCCACAATCGTGCCAAGGAGTTCTATTTTTCAGAGTTGAAAGCCTTACGAGATTAAGTTTAAGTTTCAATACTTAAAGGCGTTTGGTACTTGACTTCATTCAGATTTTAATTAATGGGAAAGACTTTGCATCATTTGATACGTGAAATTATGGAGTATGTAATTTTACATGAGTATCATATTGCAATCATAAAAGGGAAGGTGATTCCCTTTTGGATTAGAGGGAATGTTACTTTCCCTTGACTGTGAGAAAGTAAAGTAGACCAAAATGACAGAAAATCCCCCGAATTGACGCCATACGAATATGGTGATGGGAGCAAAGGGGAAGGAGAGAGAAAATGGACGAAAAGAAGAAGAGGCCATCATCATAGGGCAAGGAGGAAGCAGAGAAAAAAAAGAAAGAAAAGAAAAAAGAATAAGAGCCCATCACCAGAGAGCAACAAGGAGAGAAAAAGAAGAAAAAATGGGAAAAGAAGAGGCCATTGGGAAGGACGATGGGTGCAGGAAGAAATAAAAGAAAAAAAAATGAAAGAAAGAAAAAAAAAGAAAGTAATGGATTGTGTGGGAATTTAATTAATTAATTAATATTTTTATAAAATAATTTAAATTAACTAATTTAATTTTTTAAAATTTAATTAATTTATTAAAAATAAAAATTTAATAATCTTATATTTTTTAATATTTAAATAATTAGTTTTAAAATATTATGTTATTTTTTATACTATTATTTATTATTTTAAGAAATAAAGTTAAAAAATTAAAAATTTACATTTAAAAAGAATATAGGTGATTTAATTTTATATTTTCATACTGAAAGATAATTTTGTAAATTTATTTTATATTTTCAATAAAGCGTTTCTAAATCGAACTCTACAATGTAATTACGTTATTTACAATCATCATTTTCTCTTATTATATAAAACGTTAGAAGATTATCTTATCAACAATCACATATTTAATAATCACATTTTCAATAAAATACCAAACACAACTTTAGATCAATGTAAGTGGGGCTTGGAAGGACCTTCCCTCTTCCGATAAAAGGTTTAAACTTTATTATTAACTTCATTCTCTTTAATTTTTTATGTAACCATTATTACATATGATTTTTTGTCTTCTAAAATCATAAATTTCTTATTCAATCAATACAATAAATATATTATTAATAGATATAATATTTAAAAAATATTGAAATATTAAGAAAAATTCAAATAAATTTTATTTTTATTATGTTTAATCACTTTTTGTATTTTTTTAAGTTAAATAAATTCTTATATTTTTATTTTGAGTTAAATAAACTTTTATAACTAATGATTGATTTAGTTGTAATGTCACTTGTCATTGTATACCATATGATATTGACGTGGCATATTAATTTGTTATGATTGATAATAAGGACATGTTAATATATCATAATTGATAATGACATGACATGTTAATGTGACACGATAATATACTAATGTGGCATGATAATAAATTTATATAACATATTTTACTTTACACATCAACTTTATGTTAGTGTCATATAAATGTAAAATGATATGATAATAATTAATTAACCATTAGTGATAATGATTTATTTGATTCAACATAAAAATATAAAAAGTTAATTGAATGTAAAAGATTAAAATAAAAACTTATTTAAAATTTTTTAAATAATATAAAAACTTTTTCTAGTATTATGCTTTATTTTTCTTTTGAAAAGTAAAAATCAAAATAATTTTATTAAGCATCAGGATACACAAAATCTGATCAAAGAAAAGATCAGAAAACAAGCAGCAAGACAGAGAAGAGAAGGAGAAACAAAGAGATGAAAGCGCTTCTCGCCAGCGACGAGAACAAGCATCAGTTGAAATAAAAAATAAAAAAATCGCCGCAGGAGGAACAAAGAAAGTAGGAGGCAGAATAACAAGAGAGCGAAGGAGAAGCAATGAGCCAGAAGGCAGTAAACAAAAGCCAGCAACCATGGACATGAATCAGTGGAGAAGGAAGTCCCAAGGGCAAAACATCAGGAGCAGCAAAGACGCAATCGCAGATCAGCAAAGCAGCAGAAACACAAAGAACAAGATCAAAAAAGCATAGAGAACTTAGGAGAGAAAGCAGGAGACAGAGCATCAGAGAACTTCAAAATCAGCCGAGGCAGAAAAGAGAAACAAAGGACAGAACCCAAACAGTTACGAGAGCAGAATGAGAGGTTGAGCACAGCAAGGAATTACCCGAACGAGGGGGAGTATGAACAATCGACCAGACACCAACTTGGAATGTTGAAGACCCAGTCAGAAGAATAATGTGTCTCAAACTCCATGGAGCATCATTAGGACATTTGATTCATTCGACAACATTTTGAGAATCAGATTCTGTAATCAAATCAAAGGAATTAACCCAAAAAGAAGCTGCAAACAGGAAAAAAAAAAAAAGCTTCTTTTTAACTGCCTATTATTAATATTATTAATTATAATATCAACATCGTTTACTGTATTTTTTCATATATATATATAAAGCAAAAATGACGTAAATAACAATCCGTTACTTCACAATGACAAACACAAAAATGGGCCATTGATTTAAATAAGCAAACAGGTCACGATTAGCACCGGTTTTGCTTTATTTCTTGTTCATTTGTATATTTTTTTTCTTTGTTAAAGTAATAAGATAAATTATATCCGAACATTTCATTTATTAATTGATATATTAATTCTTGTTTAAAAAGTAAAATTTAAATTTTTTCTTTTTCAATTATATAAATTAGATTAATAATAAAATTTATATGATTTTTTGTTATAAAACTTATACGATCACACAATTTTTTGTTAATTAACTAACTAATACAAATTAATTAATAAACTAAATCATAATACTGGTAAAAAAATAGTAAAACTATTACTTACGGAAAAATAATAAAAGTAAATGAAATTTTATTTTTATTTTTAAAAATTTTTTTTGCCAACTAAGTCTGAAAAGTATATATATATTGGATTCCTTTGGTCATTACTATGAACGGCTCTGATCTTTTTGGTAGAATGCTCATGAATTTTTACTTAAAAAGTTAGAATTGGAGTTAATAATTTTAAGGTGGTCCTATGAATTTAGAGGGTGGTTCATCCTATACATATTTACTATTGAAATTGTTTTAAATGTTTATTATAGGTTTGATGTGTTTGGGATCATGTATTTAATATTTAATATTTTGGAAGCTAATGGTTCAAACCCTTTGACAAATTTTGCAGGATTTATTTGCCTTTTCTTTGGTCTAAGTACGATTGTAATTAAAAGGCATATATCCTTAGAAAAAGCCCATATGCTATACTTGATTATATGATTAAGCTCCTAATTTTTCATTGTCTTCAAAGAAATTTTTAAATTTTTATTTTAATTTAAACAAATTTTTTAATTTAATGGAAATATAATTATCTTTAGACTTAATGTTATTGTCTTTTTTTTACCCACATGACATATTACTTAACGTGACCATATGGAGGAGAACCAAAAACCAAAAATCAAAATCCAAGGAACCACAATTATTGCCTTTGTCGTCAATCATCAATTGTTGTTGCTTATTAACACCAAAATCACAAAAAAAAAAAAAAAATCTTTTCATTCTCCTCTTTCCACTAATTAGAATAATTAATTTTTCATTAAAATTAAGAGTACTCTTTTAGGATTTAAACTTAATTAAAATTTACTTTTTTTTTGAGCATTTCTATATTGTCTCGTGTAACAGCTAGAGATGGACAGACACGTCTATGATACATTAGGGGTAAATATAAATAATATCATAAAAATGGGCCATTGTTTAAATGAGCAAACCGGATTCGGGTCGCATCGGTTTTGCTTAATTTTCCTCTTCATTTGCATATTTGTTTTCTTTGTTGTGTTTTTAAATTTTTATTAAGTAATGATAAATCAATACAATTTTTTTTATATAGAACTTATACAATCACACAGAATTTTTTGTTTATTAACTAATACAAAATTAATAAATAAACTAAATCATAATACTGACAAAAAATCATTAAAAATAATATTTCTAAAATAAGTACAAATTTTAATTTAATTTTTAAGACTTTTACCTAAATAAAAATAAACAAATTATTATTTGAGACGCGGACCACATTTACCGAGGTTTGTGGGGATTAGCAACAGTTTACAATCACCCACTAATCCTCAGGGAAGGATGAGTTGAAGTCGATTTAAGGCAATTTTATAATTAAATGGATGGTTTATGGTCTAAAATTTTTAAGATTGACATTTTTAGAGTAATCCATGGTTTTAGACACTTAATCAACTCGGCAACTCATCTTAGGTTGAAAGATCGGACTGTAGAACCGAGTTAAGGATCGATTCTTAATTTATGATCATTTGAAAACTATATAAAATATAAGTTAAATATTTGTTAATTGTAAAAAAGGAACACTAAGAAAGGGTGATTTTTTTTTAAGGATAATAACTATTAAGTTAAAAGAGTTATTTATTTAAAATGTTTATATCTAATATAAATATTAAATGAATTTATAAAAACCTACTAATAATATTTGCTAAACAAAGCATTACAACCCTACAATCATTAAAATTTAACAATAAATGAATAGATAAATTATAATATGAATTGTAACGTGGATGTCCAAATCTTCTTATAGTATTATTCATGAATTTAACTTATATAATGGCATGGACCAATCTACAGTCCAAAATTGTTGCGAACAACCTAACACCAATGGTTTAATTGATTTTGGGATTACCGATTTGTATTGTGTATAAAAAATTTTCCTTTTTAAATTTTATTTTGGTTCTCTTCTCAATTCTTATATGCTCCATTGCCTTTAAAATGACAAAATCTCCAAATTGCAATAGGTGGCATTACTCAACCACCTTGGAGATAAGGTGGCTACTATCAGACCAAATGGAGGATCTATTTTGGTAGCTAATGGTTCAAAGCATGCATTTGACAAGATTTATAGTATTTATTTGCCTTATCTATGGTCTGAGTACATTGATATTGAAATATGCTATAGTTTCAAAGTCCTGCAGACCATGATGAAATAATCCATAGGAAACAAAGGCAGATTTACAAACCTTCCTTTGAACATCCCCGGACCTTCTTACCATGCATGTCTATAGGTTGGATAAGTAAGTTTATCATGCAAAGATCATCCAGTTCTAGAAGAAGCCATGTTAGAACCAATACAGATAAGAGCTAGATCATACTTGAATAAAATGTAGATAAGAGCTAGATTATACTTGATTATACAGATATTATACAGATAAGAGCTAGATTATACTTGAACCACTCTTCACCTGAATAAAAATGTAAAGATTGTTACCGTCTAACATACTCCTTCACATATCAAGATAATGGTCTCATCATACCATGCCAATGTTAAGATCAAATGTCAACCAGTCTCCTAAATTATACTTGGATATTCAGGATAGCCCAAACTTAATCAATAATTTATTTTTATATGGAAGTAGAGGAACATATCTTAGGAGGATCCTCAGAGCTATCTACTGAACCTATTTTAACTTCCTTTAGCTAGGCATTATTTTAAGGGCCTACATACCTTGGATTTTGCAGGAGCCAACCTCAGGATAAGTCTAGTGAACCCTAAAAGGATTGATAGGTTTAATTGACCAATTCTATCCCAGTCAAAGGAGTTCCAGCATGAAGTTGTAAGGCAACATCACCCACAACCTGCAATTGGCAAAAATAAGAGGCACAATCATACTTAGAAATTCAAAGTATACAACCAACAGAACAAGCTAAAAAGAAAAAATATCATACATTAATGTACACAAAGCCCTATGATCCATTGAGGATCTGAAACCCCAGGCAGAGCTTGGAAGATGAAAAATGTGAAGAAAAATGAGGGAAAAAATAGAAGATGATTAAGTAAACAAAAATATTAAACCCTTTCTTTTCATTGGATAAATTAGTCTTCGTAATCTTTCTTTTTTTTTCAGACATTTAAACAAGATAAGAAAGTGACATAATTTTTATAATGTTTCCATTTTTCTTCATATTTTTGACAAACCTTAAAGAGCCCCAGTGGTCAGGATACTCTGCATGTGTACACTTCGGAGATATTTTTTTATAGAGCAAAGTAATATAATTGTTTTTGCAAAACTTGTTCAGTAGTTTTTGCTAGAAGTTCTAATAAAAACAGTTTCCTTAAAATGGAAACAAGAATTCAAGGTTTTACTGGAATATTTCAGTTCATAGCAGACAAGGATTTAAGCAGAAGGAACAAATCTAGGCTTATGATAGACTGACTAGAAGAGAATGCTTTTACAATTAAAAAATTTCATTTCATTTTACTTTCAACAACCTAAAAAATGCGATCAGATGCATACCTTAGCCATTGATCTATAAGAATGTTCAGTAACCCCAGCAACATGAGGTGTAATTATAATATTCTTGAATTTCAAAATTGGATCATCAGGGTCAAATGGTTCTGTCCATGCAACATCAATTCCTAAGCCTCCCAAGTGTCCAGACTCAAGATGATGCAGAACAGCCTCATAGTCTAGAAGGCTGCCTCGAGCTATATTTACCAAAAGGGCTCCCTGAAGTGACACACATTATTAACATAAACATCCAACAATGTAACACAATATGAGTGCAATTATCTTGATAGAAAATTAAACAAAGAAAGCTTGTTTTGAAGAGATGTAACACAATATAGCATACATGCAAACAAACTATGTGTTGTGAGAAAATATTTTTTGGTTTAATTATCTATTTTCATAGTTATGAGTGCAACTAAAATTTAGGAGAGTTCCCTCCACAATTTCGTAGCGAATTTGTAACAAACCTTTTTCATTGAAGATATGAAGGACTTGTTTACAATGCCAACCTGAAAACGTGAAATATCTGAATAGTGAGTGATGGAGTATAAATTTTGTAGCAGATGTAAGAGATAAGATTACCAAACAGAAATATCCCAATTGTAAGGAAAAGAGCAGCCTTACTGTTTCTTTATTCAAACTCAAGCAACAAACAACTATATCAGCTTTGTGCGCAAACTCATAAATATCTCCATGACTGCCTTTCTTGTCAACCAAATCATCATCGACCCCATTTTGAATTGGGCAAGCTGAATATTTAAAACACATTGAATGAAAATGCCTTCACAACTGAGTTTCACTATTTGCTTAATGAATCCTCTATACCTTTTAGGACAGGAACTTGCAAATTTGACACCCAGCTCCTTTTTGTAGCAATAATCTTAACACCAAATGGTTTCAAGCGCTTTGCCAATTCAATTCCAATATTTCCAAATCCCATTATAAAGACCTGCACAACCAGGGTATAATTCGTAAAAAATCAAATAAGATATGAAATAGTGGAGACTATGTTGTCACATCAGACCATCCACTTAATGGTGAATAAATAGTTGTTAAAGGAGTACATTTTTTGAGCGAAGATAATAAGATTGCCTTGCCCAGAATTCATCGAAAAGAAGATCATCAAACTAACATTTGATTGCTAGTGGAAAAAGTCTAAGTAAGACTTAGACTCTTAAACACACCAGTTTGAATAAACAATTTGAATGTATTAATTCCCATATCCACCCTTAAGTGTTTTTCTACTTTCCTTGCATGCAAAATCTCAATGCAGTGAGGTGATATATGCACAGGTACG